TGTAAAAAAAAAGATTAAATAAAAAGAAGGAATATATAAAAAGAGAAGTATTTTGATACGACAAAATAACTTTTTAAGGTGTGTATGGTAGAACACCATCTCACTACAGATACTGATGGCCAGAGAACAGAAGGAAAATTCCTTAAATGAACCTGAAACATGAACAAGATGTTCTGTTCACCTGTAGGCTTTCTAGGTCTCTTGTCAGGTTTAATTAGAGAAACCCACTCTTAGTATCCTTCAAAATGGTAAGCAAGCACCAATGACTTTCATTGATAAGTGAAAACACAGTTAAATACTACTGACAGGGTAGCATGCTTTTAGGGAATTATAATACACATTTTGTGAAATATGAAGTATTTGCCATGTTTACCAACTTTCAAAATAGTCATGCTACTCCCTTTTATAATAACGGGCATGTTTCACCTAAGAATAGCACTCCTATCAGAGAGCTACAGAAGTCACTTCTAAAAGAGAAGAAATCTTTCAGTTCTTCAAGTAACATAACACGTCATTTGACCAAGGACGAGTGTGATGCTTCAGATAAAGAGAATCATCACCCTCTGCCATCTTGGGCAGTGAGGAGCATCATCTCAAACAAAAGGCGTCTCAGCAGCAAAGATCCAGCATCACCCAGTATGTTCTGCTCAACACACAACAACACAACACTCATGAAACACTAGAAGCAAGAATGGATGGTTTGTTCTCTTGCAACTGCAGCAGGGTCAAACATCTTCATACTATGGAAGACACTCAACAGATGCCATGTCAGAGTCACAGCTCTGCAGGAATGAAGAGAACACAGAGCGCTGGGTCTAAGAACCTGTTGGCTGTTTCCTCTTAAGCACAATGACACCTTACACTTACAAAACTTAAAAACTCAAGATCTACCATTTTCCTTTAAGATTTTTCCATTTCAAGGATAGCAAAACAGAGAACTGTGTGGACTGTCTTTGTTTTCCCAGTTAGAATTCAATGGAGTTGGGGGGGCTGGGGGGGATCTCTCACTGGGATGGTGAAAGGAATTGAGTGCCAATACAAAATTTTAAAGATATTAAAATATGCACATTCATATATGTGTATTTAAAATGCAAAAAGTAGAAATTTCTACTTTTGAGCTATATGGGTAGCAAGGGAAGGTGTGTCAACCTGCAAATGAGAGAGAGGAAGAAAGGATTCCCTGTCCATGGTCAGGATGTAAAATATGATAAAAAAAGTAATGATGCAGATTCCATATTTGTTTGTTGTACTTATAATTTCAATGAGAAGTAGAAGTCGGCACGTGTTCCTACTGGTGCAGGAAAGGAATGGCTCAGACCAACTGTGTGACAGAAAAACCCCATTAACATGTTGAGAGCTAAAGAGGTAAGGCCCAGTATTTCCTTGGCATGTCCAAGACCCTCACTTCCATTCCAGCACACATATGTACAGGCAGAGCGCACATACAGGAAAGCTGAGCCTGAAGTTTAGCAGCATGCTTAGGTAACTCTCGTGCACTCTGTGGACTGAGAGGCCAACTCTAGAAGGCTTGGAATGAGCAGGTGGACAGGGAATCCTTCCCTACTGAGGATGCTTACTTGACATCACTGCAAATACACTCAGCATGGTTCCTGACAGTATCACTTTTCTACATATAGATAAATAAACAAAACTGGGCTTGGACTTCCTGTTCTGATGCTCACCAGCAGAACTCGTCTGAGCACTGCTTTCTTTATCTAAAAAAGGAAGGAATGAGAAAGAAAGCTCTTTTACTGGGCTGAGAGCTAAAGAGGACTAGATGCCCAGGAGCAGGCTCCACAGGGGACTAAAACTGCTCTAAGTTGAAAGGATTTTACTTTCTGAGGATATTTGCTAGGGTTTCACAAAGTTAGAATAATCATTTAATAAGATTCCATCAACTACTTCAGTAACTTTTGTTGTTGTTGTTTATCTGCTGTTTGCTTTTCTTTTTGAAACAAAGTTTCATTTTGTATCCAAGAGCTGGCCTAGACCTCCCTACCAAACCAGACTGCCCTTTGAATTCATAGCAATTATCCTGCATCAGCCTTCCTATAACAAGAATTGCAAACATGGGCCATCATGCCTGACCCCATGGATATTTTTAACTAAATGAAAATTTAAAAAAAAATCTTAGGGCTGGCACTACATGCCAGTCCAAATGAGCTTGCCTAATATCTGTGTTCAATGCCGTGAATCCACATGCAAGTGGAAGAAGGGTGTTGACTCTACGCAGTCATCTTGTGATATCCACCCACGGGCCATAGCACTGGCATACGACATATACATCATTCACACACACACAAACACACACACACAAACACACACACACACACACCTCATTCATGCACGCAAGCACACATTTTAAAAAATATTAAAGTCTATATGGAAAAAGAAACCATACCCAAGACAAAAAATGTGGGAGCTTTAAAAGGACATATACACTCATCTAAAAAGAAAAAAAACCATAAAAAATGTGTTTCACTATTGAGCAACAACAGATAAAATCAACCACCAAGCAACAGTAAGAACAAAATATGAAAAGAATATAAAGCACAAAATGAAATGCATCAAGAATATGTGTAACTACCCAAGCAGGTACTGAGAGATGCGAAAGAATAAAGTAATAGTAACATAAGACTTTAAATCTTCAGATGGGCCAGAATTCAGATTGTCCAAAATACAGTATTCCTGCATGGTAGAAAAAATGATACTTTCAAACAAATGATAGTGTCTACTGATGTCTTTATTTTTAAGCTATGGAATGTTCAAACAAAGTTACTGGATCAACAGCACTTCTCATCAGGGCACGAGTAATTACCACTCCTACCGCCAGGAATAGTCACAATCCACTTCCTGTTTGTCTCCTTGAGATTATCAAGATTGTGGTAACTGCACTGGCCACAGTGTTACTAAACATCACTCCGTGCCATTGTTGTGAGTGTTCACAACAGCTCTAAAAATACCTGTTTTAAAGACTAGACAACCAAGGCACTAAATTTACCTGGTAAATACGAACTAACCACATATGAGCTGTTTTGTATTTTACTGTTTTATTGATGTTAGCTACATTTTGCTATTGTGTTTCTCCTGTCAACACATACATTTGGATGTAAGCAATATATAAGCAGTGCATATGAATGTGACTAGACGCATGTGGGTAGTGATAAGGACGTGTTATCTCTGTCTAAAGCAAATTAAAATATAGAGGGAGCATACTGGACTTCTGGACATAACGGGAGGAGAGGAGAGCTAGAGACAGAGAGGGTGTCGATCTAGATAAAGACACAAATCAGAATACACACAGCCTCATAGTCAGAAAGCAGAAGGAGAGACCAACAATAAAAGAATAACATTTTGCAGTCCTTGGTAGCATGAAGGGGACTGCAAATGTTTAAGAGAGGGGTGTTTTTCAAGCAAGTTTCATTATTCCAAAGAGCAATGCTTTTGCAGAATGATTTGAATTTCCTCCAGTATTTGATGTTTTTAATTGAATAACAAAAGATCTTATTAATGGGGAGGTTCGGAAGTGCATAAAGGATATGTGTTAAAGGCATTGTCTAAGTGCAGGAGTGCGGAGTTCTGTCTCTGGCCCCACCACCACTGGAATAGCTGGCCTTTGCCATGCCATTTAACTTGCTCTCAATTTCCTGATTAACAAAGAAAGGAAGTTCAACAAGGCCTTCCATAAAGATCCCTTTAGTGTGAAAGTGTAACAAACCTATCACTAAGATGGATAACGTAGGCAAGTGAAAACTTAGCAATCAGAGTAATCACTGTATATTTTTAGAAGAAACAGAGCTGAAAGTCTCAGTACCTGATAGCTACATAGGTAACTTAATGAGCAACTTTCAAATGTGCCCTTCTAGAATTAAAGGGCACAGTAAAATCAATTAGCAATTTTCTATTTACAAATGGTAAATGTAATGACTCAATGCTATACTTTTCCTATTAAGTTTTAAAAGTTGTCCTTTTGGATAGTGCCAAATGACTTATTAAAGACTTAATTTGTCATCTTAGAATACTGTCAATCCAGAAGGAGCAGTTTAACAAAAATATCCTCCTCTAGAGACCAGCTGTAATAGCTGTCAGAAAATAAGGGGGCTAGCCAATGCCAGACAGACAGAGAAATAAATACCCTGCACACTAAAATTTCCAGCAGGAAACGTTGAATATAAATTATTAAAGGAACGCAAAAATGGCAAAAGGGAACTTGCTTAAGCATGACAACCTTCTGAAGTAACATTTAGAGTTTTAATACTCACATTTTCATAAGTATTATAAATAGTACAATGCTAACACTTGATGAAAACTTAGAAAACACCAAAAGTCACTAACTCATACAGTGTAATTTTCATGGACTTTGAAATTGTATGTATTTCTTTTCCTTAAATGGATGTGATATTTTTTCCAAAAGCATATATAAAATATATAAAATATTTTAATATGAAATATATATAAAATTCCTCAAACATCCCCTACTTAGAAATAATTATAAGAAAACCACCTTTTAGACTATATGAAATTCCCTTTAAAAACCTATCCAGACTTTTGATCTAGGTGTGACTCCGTCCAAAGACATATTAAGAGCAGTTGCCTGAACCAATTTTTATAGAATGCGGCGGTGACGTAAAGAAAAAATGTAAGGCTTGCACAGTTATCTAAAATTCCTGCAAGCTAGCGGTTCCGGAGTAGTAAGTCATAATTCTCTTATCTTCCAGTACAAGCACGTGCACTTATTTCTATCCTTAGATTAGCTTCAAGTTACTGGCACTTGTATACAGGAGCGGCGCTTTTTTTTTTTTTTCTAATTACAGATGGAACTTGAGCTAGATCAAAGGTATTCTAAGAAGGTCATTTTTTTTACTTCTCTGAAAAACAGAGGATGTGATCTCATGTCATTAATTAATGCTGAGCCATGCCCTTTGGCGCTTTATCTGGTAGTTGAAAAAACCGGGTCCAGCCATCCCCACCTGCTGGGATAGTAGAACTGTTAGACTTACCCAAAAGAGTAGGTTGAGGGCGTAGAGCAAACAGCGCAAACACTTCACGGAATCTTCTCTGGCCATTGTAAGTCTTGGGAGGGAGAAGCCCCATCCTCTCACCACATTCTACTGATCCAGGCAGAGCCGCAGCAATCTACAGGGGCAGGCACAGTAGGGAACTAGCTTCACAAGTGGGCCCCTGTACCAGTCCTCAGCTGTGTCCCCAAACCTAGTTTATTCCAGACGTCCTCTCATCAAAACTCAGTTGTTAAAGTCTTAATGGTAACAAAACTCCCAAAGTTTTCACTTGGCCTCGGATAACACCTGCTGCCAAGAAAAAAAAAAAAAAAAGGTTGACTCTGGATGAATGAAGACTTACAGTATACTAGTTTTCCCGATGGACCTGTGGCATGGCCCTTGAGACTTTCTTTGCTGTCTCCCTGGGGACAGCTTTGTGTCTCTGGAGATGCCACAGGCTCCATTGCTACCCCCACCCCCAAGGACACACACACCTCGACCTCCCTGAGCACGGGAGTGCCCTTCTCCCCTGGGCACCTCCTGGGCCCTACCTCCACGCTCCCACCCCACCACCGGGTCGCACAGCTCGGGTGTGAACTCGGGAGCCACTGGGGGCGCAGCGCAGAGCTGGGCTCCCGCCCGGTGACTAGGGTTTCTTTGGAAGAACGTGAGAAATGCAGTTTGTCGTCCGGGAATAATGGATGAGCCTGGGGCGGGGTGGCGGGGAGAGAACATTGAGGAGTCCGGGCCGGTGCAGCTGTACCCAAGCCGGACCGGTCATCATTCACTACCACCCTCGCCCCCCGGATGCGCAACCTCGGGCCCCGCGTGCCGCCGCGACACAGAAGTCCCCGCCGCCCGCAGAGCACAAAGCCAGTGCGGTTAGGCAAAGTCACCGCGGCCGCGCGCCCCGGGCAGGACGCACCGCGCAGGGCAGAAGCCACTTCGGCTGGCGTTAGGGACCACGGGCAGTAGAGATGCGGGACTTGTGGCCACTCACCGTCCGAACTGCGCTCCTGCCGGGGGACAGTCGGGGGACACACGGCAGACACTCATCCGGGCAGGGACGCTCCTCCCGGAAAGCCAAAGGGCTGCATCGGCTCTAGCAGATGCTTCCTTGTCTTCCTCTTCCCAGCCGTCGCCGTCGCTGACTCCTGGGAAAAAGAAAAAAAAAAAAAAAAAGTCCGGGCAGCAGTCGCTGGAAAGTCTCTGCTAAGCCACCTCCCGACGCCGCTGTCCCTCCCAAGTCCTCGCCAAGTCCGGACAAGGCAGCAGCGGCAGCCAGGGCCAGCTGCACAAACTCTCAGCGCATGCTCGGCCGCTGGCTGCCGGGTTGGGTCCTAGTGGGTGTTTCTTGTCCCTCTCACCCAGAGTGACACCCCAGAGAAATTCTTCACTTCTACAAGATAGAATGCCGGAGAGATTAAAAACCTGTAAAACTAGGAGGATTCCATGCAGCAAACCCCTTTAAAATGGTGGCGTCGCGGGAATGGAGGATGGGTTATAAGGAAGCAGGCTTTTATTATATGAAAATATTTGTGTTTGAGAAGGGGGGCCACGGGTGGCCTAACCCAATTCCTGCAATGAGAGACTAGTTTTCAGGATCTTTATGGAGCCGCCTCTTGTGACTTGTCATTAACATCCTGCCCTGTGAACCTTATTGATCTGTTGCACTCCCCGTGTGCAGAAGTAGGTAAATTAATATATAAAACATTTCTTGCCCACTCTAAACTACTAACATTTGCAAAACCATCAACGTATCCCTATACAGATTTAGCATCCAGCTGGGAAAAAAAAAACAGGTAATTCTTTCACAAGTAATCCAAAGTTTTCAAATTCCCTCCTGATCCGGTTGCCTTGACAATGTTCGATGTGGTCATATAATCTGGAAATGCACACAGGGTAATCTTTGGAAAGTCGTCTTGTTTTTTGGGGGATTTTTGTTGTTGTTGTTGTTGTTGTTGTTGTTGTTTTAAACTAGAGATTGGGGGGGTATCACAATAACCACAAAGCATATCTCCAAACCTATCTTCTATTTCAGAAGTAAGATATTTTCACATTTAAAAATTTAAATTGCTAGCTCATGTTGCTCCCACAAAAGATTGAGTTTTATCCCTCACAATAGTATATGTTGCTGTGATCATTTGTTCCCTCATCAAAAAGCAAATAAAACTTCACCAACAAATGTGAATTACATGAGATCCAAGCAACATCTTTGAGAAAAACTAATAACCGGAGTCCTCGGGGCAACTTGCAGCTGTGGTCTGTGTCCATCATCACCTGTCTGCTGCGTGGCCAAAGTGACAAGGAGACATGGTCTAAATCGGTTGACACTGAGGTCAAGACCATGAGAGACAATGTGGATGCCCAGAGCTAGGGTATTAACATTCTTCCTAAGCAGATCACTAAGACAACAAGTTCTAAAAAGCAAACAAGAAGGACAGCCACCCACAGAAATTGCCAAGGAGATCGTCCAGTCATCCATGAGATGACTCCCACTCCAATAACAGAGTGGCTTCTAAAATTGTGGGAGGAGCTAAGAAAGCCGCTTTCATCCTTCATCCTTGTGTTCACAGGCAAGGGCAAGGGCAGCTTCACAAGGACAGAGACTGAAACAAAGCGCCATCCAAAAGCTATTGGTGCCACACAGCTCCTGAGAGACATAAAAATTTCCTCATACAAGGGAGGGTTTGCCATTAAAAGGGAGAAATAAATGCCAACAATTAAAAAAAAAAAACTGTCTTCCATTGTTAGAAGATTGGAAAATGCTTTCTGCATAATCTATAAACTCTTAGGAGTCACCTGCCCAAGCATGATAAAATAATAATATAGTTAAAAGAACTTTAGAAACACGTTTGTCCTCTCTTCGTAGTAAATAAGAAATGATGGACCAAAAGTAGTCGCTTAATATGGTCACCTCTTAGTGCAACTGGAGTCAGGCTACCATCTGGAATTCAGAAAAACCCTGATGCTCTGGTGAACTCCAGCACACTGAAGTCAGAGTCTCCAAAGTTGTGGCCTTAGCATGCAATTTATTTCAGCATTTCCAAACATTTCCATTGACTGAGTGTGCAGTAAAGTTTAAAAATTTACTAGGCTTTCCTGGAAACTTCAGATGAGCAGAGGAGAGTCTGAGGTTTAGTGGAATTACAATCCCTTACCTGCCAGTGTAAGAACTGAGAGTATTCCCTCTTTCTAAGCAAGAAGCAAACAACTGTAGCCATTTCTCTAATATTCCTGACAAATGGTCTTCAGGAGCTTAATCAACTTCAGCATGAGAGACCTCATCACATTTAAAATATTGCAAAACAAGGCAGCTTCCATGGCCTCTAATTAACCACACTTCTTGACATTCTGTCATTCCGTAGGCCCTGTAGCTTTCTCAACCAACATTCACTACACAGACATCATTGCCATTTGGGTAAAGAATAACATATTTGCATATTCTACTCATTGCCAGGAGGCAGGAACCCATTCTAAGGCAGCATGTCCTTCATTAAGTATTATTTGAATGTGTGGCACTTACTGTACCTCTCACCAGCTGGAGATATTAAAAATATAAGTCCCTGCCCTGTGAGAAAAGGTAAAGCAGTTCTTTCCTGTTTATTTAACGGTAATAATATGAATAAGACATGCATTTGCATGCACCTACTTATTGATTCCAGAGTTAAAAGCAAAACTCAGCCGTGTGGTAAGACAGATGAAGGCTCCTCTTCTCCATAAGCCACCGTACCTGTCCTTCCCATTGTGTATAGAGAGTGTGGAGAGGAAGGGACAGCAAGGTGCTTGGTTAAACAAACGAGTTTTACTGGCTTCGGAGCATAAAAAGAAGTTCTTCGCAATCATCAAACAAAGGAGGTTTTTTGGTTTGGGTTTTTGGGTTGTCTTTTCTCTTTTTTTAAACAAGTCTTATGTATATAACGTAATGGCTTTCTCCTTGAATGACACATCAACTTCTCAGAAATGTGACAGGCTACTGAGACTCAATTGACTGATTCAGGACTTCATAGGCAGAGAGTAAAGGAGAAGCTAAAATTTGGTTTCTAAATAAGGTTTGTCTTTCTTGTGTCACTGTTAGCCTGTACACAGCATCTCAAATCTGGGTGGGGGGTCCACTGACAGTTCCAAGGAGGAAGACAGACAGGTCATTTCTTACTAATTCTATGTCAAACACACGTACTCATGCTATTTTCTTACCTTATCTTTTTGGATGAATCAAGTACCTTCACTGTACTGTAAATTTAAAATATCCAGATAAAATGCAAGGTGATTCATGACTTAATCCTATCACCCAGGAGGCAGAAGCAAGAAGATCTCTGTAAGTTCAAAGCCAACCTAGTCTACATAGTGAGCTCCAGGATAGCCAGCACTACATAATGAAACCCCGCTGCAAAAATTAAACATAAAAAATTCAATTTTTTTCAAAAGCAAAATATCTAGTCAAATTTAAATTTCAAACAAACAAAAATCCCCCAGTGTTCCACAGAACTAATACCAGTAATATATAGCTTTCAATGTTTACCTAAAATTATTATTTAGCTGAATAGTCTAAAATTTCCTTAGCTAAACTTGAACATAATATGCAAATTGGAAACTAGAATTTCTACTCAAAATGCCACTTCACTAAGCAAGCATGTTATTTGACAGCGAATTGACAAACACAGCTTTTCACTCCGTAAGAGTCATGGGGTCAGATCTTGTCTCTCCTGTCTCTTCCACACACCTACATTGCCTCTCTCTCCTCAGCCATCTCCTCTCCTCTCAGAAGCACAAACACAAAGCCATCATGTGAACCCAGACTTCACATTCAGTCAGCACTATTTCTGGAGGGAAAAGAAATTGCTTCCTCCCTGTGTATCTCTCTAGGGATTAAAGAACCATTTCTCTGCCTCTCCCCACCCCCACCCTGGGATGCTACGGGAAGTTGTCACACTTGTGCTATTTCCTATGACCCTGTTACATATATAAGGGTGAATTCCTTGCTAGCAGTAAGTATGCATTTACCCTGATACCAGCAGACGTTGGAACCAGCAGCCCAGTTGCACTCAGTAGCCAGCCACTGAATCATTACTAAAAACTTAGATCTAGAAGAATCAAAGCTCTAGAGAAATTCCAACTCTCAATTTACAACTTCCTTGGTACACTTTCTCTTCAGAAAGCAAAAACCCAGATAATCGTTTAAAAAAATGCTTTTTTTTTAATGAAAAATCTAAATTCAGCTATTTGAAAAGGAAAGAAATGTAAAGGAAAGAAAACGAGTTTATTTGACTGTCCCACTTTCTTTGATAGAATCCTTACAAGTCACTCCACTGTATCAGGATATCAGAGTTTTGTCATGTTCATGGTATGACAATTAGAGAAAGGTCAAACAAACTATGACACACCCCTGCTTTCTACCCCTTCATTTCCTGCTCCAACTGGACATGTCATTAAATTCATTAAATTCATTAAAAAGTTTGGTTTTTACAATGACTTCCATTTAACTACCCCAAATACAAATATGCTCATCCTACCATGTATAAAAATATTATATGTAAATTCAGCTGATTGTATGATGAGAATTTAATCTGTACAAAATTAGTGTTGTTGGAATTTAAACTTTCTCTTACTGCATGTGTGTCTATGTCTGTGTGTAGACGTGCATCTATATGTATGTGTGTGTGGGGTGTGCATAGAGGTGTGCATAAGCATGGTTGCTAGCCAACCCATATTTTATGATCCAGAGCTGTAGCAAATTTCTATTTCGTATTTCACAGTATGGATGCATGTATGCCTGATGGATAAATGAGAACGAACTAATGTCTTTATTCTCTTCTAGTGGTGATGCAGCATTTACGTAAGTGACACAGACAATTTCCGTGATGTTTCATCTTTTTATGACTGGTTTTCTTTCTTAGAAAGGAAAAGAAGTTGTCCAGTAATTTCTGTGGTTAAAGGCTGATAGCCTTTGGGGTACATATGACTCTGATTGGGGGCTCTCACTGTCACACTTAATGACTTAAGGACACTTCCATCTTTTGACTACATCTCATAACTTTATCATCAAAGTCACTGTAAGTAGTTGTAGAAAAGACTTGGGACATAGCAAGATTAATTTAGAAAAGCTTTAAGTACTTTCCAAAATAACTGGTAAGAACTAAATTATACGTGGGTTTTAGCTTTGTGTGTGTGTGTGTGTGTGTGTGTGTGTGTGTGTGCGAGAGAGACAGAAAGAGAGAGAGAGAGAGAGAGAGAGAGAGAGAGAGAGAGAGAGGATTCTGCTAATGTTTTATGAGTCCCTGTTACCTGAGTTATACACACACACACACACACACACACACACACACACTCACACAAATCTTTTCAAGTCTGCCATGTGGAGATGAAGTGGGTCTCATTCCCAGGAAGGAAGCTTAAGAATAAGTAGCAGCCAGCCTTGGCTGGAGAACTAACCACAGAGTCACTTCATTAACTGAGTCCCAGTGGCCATTCCTTAGATCAGACTTGAAAATTAAGAATCCAACAAGAAACGCGTGCTACCTAAATTGATGCTCTCCTCATTGTTTCT